TGTGAATCAAGTCATTCTCCAAACTCACTCTCTTGTCCTCTTTGCCCAGATGGCCAAAATGTCAAAGAACAAAAAGAAGAAGATGAAGAAGAAGCAAAAGAAGCAGGCAGAGATGCTGGAGAAAAGGATCCAGGAGATGGAAGGAGGAGTGGCACTTGAAGGATGTGAAGACGAAGACGATGAAGAGACGACGACAGAAACCACAGAGGATACGACTTCCTCAGCCACCCTGTCCACATCTGCCACGCTGCAAGACATCCCTAACCACGCCATCACAGGTAAACGACCAGATCCATTTTCCCATTATTACGTTGAATAACTTATATTAGTCAAAATGTTGTTATTGAATTTATGGTTTAAAAAATCTTATCTGTAGTGATATGAATTAAACTAAGTACATTTTTGCCACAGACACTTCTCCTGACCAGCAGCCCCCACAGACGTCAGACGGAAACGAACAAAAACAGAATTTGGCCGAAGAGGAGAACAAGATGGATGTGAACTACAACGGCATCGCCTCCAAACCGGAGAGTGAGGCCAGCCCGGAGAGCCAGGTTCATGAGACTCAGCAGTCAACAGAGGAGCAGGAGGACCAACAGAATGCAAACCAAGAAGGAAACGACACACAGGCCCACGACACATTAAGCAACAAAGAAGAGCATCAGACCTGCAATGGTTCACCCGAGGACCCGGACCCAGACACAGAACTGCAGCAGCTCCCCGCCTCCCTCAGCCCAGACTCTGTCACTGTAGAGCTAAAGGAAGGAGAGAAGGAGGAGAAGAGGGAGGAGGAAATGGACACTCAAGGGGAGAAACGAGGGGAAGAAGAGGAGAACAGTCAGAACGGTTAGTTAAAAAAGAAACCCTGATTTTCCTTTGTTGTAAACTATGTAGATTCAGTTCATAATTTTTGCCTCCTCTTGCTCCAGCATTTATGAAGCTTTTGACATATACATATATGTATATTAACAATTTCAATTGATTATGTAAACTATGATAGTTTTTTATTATTTTATGTCTTTTATATAATTATCTATACACTCAACAAAATTGATTGTTTGGTAATAACATACATTATTCGATATTTAATGTTATTATGTTATAGGCAAAGATTGATTTAACATTTAATGACATGAGAGCAAACTAGTATGGGCCCTTGTCAGGCGCTCTTATGAGTGCTATGCTAGTTAAACATGTAGTTAAAGTTCCTCAACCCTCAAATCTGCTGCTGCAGCAGCATTCTCTCTGACAGAAATGGGATTCTGTTTTTTATTCCCAGTTGTCAGGTGCAGTGTGCCAGCCCCAGTGCAATTGGGTTCAGTCTGTCAGCTTCCATGTGTTTCACTTTTTGGGTTATTCTCCATCACTCTCTGTCCCTTCTTTAACAGGAGCATCAGGAAGCATGCTAGTAAACCCTCTGGAGCCAATCAACGCTGACAAGGTGCAGGTTAAGATTGCTGACCTTGGGAACGCCTGCTGGGTGGTGAGTAAATATATATATATTTCAACTTTTTGGTTTTTAGTGAAGCACTCTTGAAAGGTTTGTCTTTTGTGAAGATTTCCCGTTGTTTCAAATCTGACTTTACGAGTGTCAAAACATCGTCTTTATTTTTTACTCTTTGTCTCAACATTTCTTTCTCCTTCTCACAGAACAAACATTTCACAGACGACATCCAGACGAGGCAGTATCGTTCTCTTGAGGTGCTGATGGGAGCCGGCTATAGCACACCAGCTGACATCTGGAGCACAGCCTGCATGGTAGAACAAGATTTACACACACTCATTCAACACTCCTGTTGAAATATAAAGAAAGATGGCATAAACACTGAATGTAGCAGGAAGTGGTGAAGTTAACTCTGTGGATTTTTATCATAATCAAATACAGTTTTAGTTTGTTAATTTGACCAGTCTCTAACACTATTACTGTGTGTAATGTGCACTTAATGCAACTAATCATGAAGACCTTTCTCTTCAGAGTCATCAATTGTCAAAAACTCCAAAAGGAAGTTTTAAATTCCCTCAGAACATGTTGATTTGGGTTTGGTCTCGCTGCCTTCACAGGAATCTCTTCATTAGGAACTCATGGTAGATCAGGAGGTAGAAAACGTGTCTTTAAAAAGAGACACACACAACTACTAGAGAGAAATACGCTGAGAAAAGAGAAGCTATTGTCAGTGAAGATCAGATGTTTCTCACCCTCAGAATGAATCTAAAGACAAGATTCACACAAACAAAGAAGAACATAAGAAAGAGATATTTCAAATGTCTTTGTATTTATTTAAACCCATTACTTGTTTGTTTGGTTTTGCTTGTACTTACATTTGTGTGATTTCTTTCCTTAGGCTTTTGAACTTGCCACTGGAGATTATCTGTTTGAACCCCACTCAGGAGAAGACTACTCTAGAGATGAAGGTTAGTGTTTGTTGTCCTAAGTCGTCTCTCACTAAAACACAAGATATCAGTGTTTAAATACAGGCTTAAGAAAGTGTGAATGCTAGATTCATTGTGGAAATATACACCATGAAATTTGGATCTCAGTGCTTTGCCTCTTGCTAATGCATTGAAGTATTTTATTATTCAAACAGATTTGAGCCCATGAAAATCTAGTTCAGTCCAATAATTCTTTTTACCTTGGTGTTTTATCGTTTGTGTTTCTCTGCGTCCACGTAGATCACATAGCCCTGATCATCGAGCTGCTCGGTAAAGTTCCTCGGAAGCTGATCTTGGCAGGAAAATACTCCAAGGAATTCTTCACCAAGAAAGGTAAACACACCCGCCCCTGCCACCAGCTGCCTGCTGGAGCTAGTTTTTCTGTGGTTGGTTCCACTGCTGTTTTATTATGAACAGAAATGATTACAAGAAAGATCCCTGACATCATGTTTTCAGCTCTTGTTTTACATCATTGCACCTGATGTCTTAAGGGAATGGCTGCTCGGTTTGAGGGCAGAACTTGCATATCAAATTATTTCACGTTCATAGAAATAATCCAGTGGATTCATTACACAAACCATTATTTTGTATATTATATAATAACTGTGAACTTAAATATTTCCTCCCAGGTGACCTGCGTCACATTACCAAGCTGAAGCCGTGGGGTCTGCTTGATGTCTTGGTAGAAAAGTATGAGTGGTCGAAGGAGGAGGCGCACATGTTCAGCAGCTTCCTCCTGCCCATGCTGGACCTGGTGTCTGAAAGGAGAGCCACAGCAGCCCAGTGCCTCTCCCACCCATGGCTTTCATCCTAGAGGCCACTTGTGCACACGACCGCCCTCAGATTGGGATGGGGATGCGTTAGGTTTAAAGTTTCTGGGCTTCAAAAATAACATCAAATCCACTCACACACACTAGTGTCTGCGAGAGCCTGTGACTTGCATCATGTCTGCGTCCTCCTGTCATGGATCTCTGAGGCTACCTACACACATTTGAGATTATCTTAACAGTTAAAAGAGAGACTGCTGCCTAGTTTTTGTCCTGTTATGGATTACACTGGTTATAGAAGGAACTTGAGGGCCTCTCCCTATATTTCTGGGTCTTTTTTTTTTTTACTTGCTGCAGAGGACTTGACTTTGCTTTGTCTTTGTTTTGCTTCTAACTCCAGCTCTTTCTCTGCAGCAAATTACTCTCTGTACTTTTAGCTATAGATAATGAATTCTGTTGGATTTTAAAAAGAAATTTGCACTTGTTTACAAGAACAGGAAAAAAAAAGATCGCCATGAAAGCCACATGCTGTTATCATTCTGATCTATTAGACCCATCTCTGTTTGCCAGATGTTAGCCGTGCCAACCTTTATGCTTTTGGCTGTCAACTGTGTGCAAAGTGCTCAGAATTAATAACTGCATAGTGCAAACAGGCATGTAGAGCAACTAGTAACCCTCTCAGCGCTGGTAAATTAGCTTAGACCTCAAAAACCTTTTGTACATTTGTATACAGACAGCAGCACAGGATTAGGAAGCATACGTTACATACATCTCATCCAGAAATCACACTGCTTATTCTAGGACTTGGTATAGATATTCTTTTTCAATTCAGCTGTTTCATCCTGGTACAATATATTGCGATTCTTTTTGCCACATGCATTAACAAAAGACGGTACGCTGGATGCCGTTTCATACCTGGATCGTTTTTTACTTGTCAATAGTTGCTTCATACACCATAACCCATATTACCAGTCACAGTCCATGTTAATCCTCATCCTGTGTGTACAGTGTACCAAAGAGTCGGCCTTTAATCTCTCCCTACTCGCACTGTTGGCTTTGTGTGGTGTTTCCGGAGGAGGTTCTCAGCAGTGACTATTGAAGGCAGAAGCTACAACGTTTAGCATTTTTAAAAAAATACTTTTTAGAAGAATGTCCAGGTGATTTCCAGCCATATAAAAGTTAAGCTTCAACTGTCTCCGCTGCACATAGAGGTGACGGATTTGAAAATACGATTGTACTTAATATTGATGCTGTAATGAGGCTATGGAACCATTTTTCTTATTTTTCTACAAAATCTCTCCTTTCCATGTCTCCCCCCTTCATTTTGTTGTCAATTTTTTCTGTAGGTAATAAGAATAAACATTTTTCAAGATCTATCTGCACTGCTTTTGCCTCATGCATCACACTGTTGTGTAAGAGGATTTACATAGATTTTATCTCACATAGAGATTTTTTTTAACATGCCAGGATCATGCAGGTTACTTATGCTACATACACATCTAGGGAGCATGATATGTATTGTGATGTTTAACAGTTTATTTTTATTTTCAGCTCCATCACAATTATCAGGTTATTGCTTGGGAGAGAGGACAACATGAGTAATAATAATATTGTGATAAAATGTTTATTTTAAAGACGTGTTGAAACATGTTTTTTTCAAAGATGTCCCATCAAAATATGGGATGTTTGTTAAGTCATTTAAAAATGAAACAAAAGTTCAGATTAATGGTTATTAATAACAATTAACATGTTCATTGTCACATTTCAAATGACGTCTCAAAAAAGCCACCACATTAGAGAATCAATTCGATAGTCAGGAGCAGCTTTACATTTATCTAAAATTTGTAGATGGAAGCTCTGTTAACATATTCACACATTGAATATGTGGAATTATTTTACCTTAAAAAGCACCATAGATAATGTAAAGCTGTGAGGCTGGAGCGAGAGGAGGCCAGTGACTCACTCTGACCATGATTTCAAATGTCTGTGTGGGCAAATTTTGATTTTTAAGAAAACTGTCAAAGCCTTTGAACACATTTGAATTCCCTGAGTCAGCAGTTCCTGTTCATCTGTGGTCTCTGTCGTCCTCTGGGTGTCTATGCGTTATCTGTGGTTGAGAGAAAAGACAAAGTGAAATCATCAGTTCAGGCAATGACGTAACATTGCATTTAAAATATCTGTGGCCCAGCTGCTGGACTAAAGCTAAACACATTACAAGACTAGGACTTTTGTATTGAAAATGTACATGATTATCTTCTGGGGCCATGGTTGTTTGTAGCATTTCACAGCAACTAATCTGATAGTTGGTTCTATTCAATGAAAACAAAAATGTGAACATTGTGGGGAAAGCAAGATGATTATGAGCAAGGAAACATGGATATCGTGGTACTGGAGTGGTGCCAATCCATCAAATACATGCTGAGGCATTTCAATGAATAGGAGAAAAACAGCTTGTGTTGCAGGAAGAGTCAGAGGATTGTCAGTTTTTAGAATTTAATTTATTCTCAAGGGGCTGTGAATATCTGGAGCAAATTTCACGGGAGTCAGTGAATCACAAATCTTGTTCAAGCTAAAAATCATGAATGATATCAACACAAATGTTAAACGTTTTCCTGATGTCTCACGACAAACTGACTGAATTAATGAGCAGGATTCAATACACATTTATGACCTACTACTAACATTTTTGAAACAGGTCTACTGAACAGACCTTGTTTTGTATAGCTTTAACCCTAATAAAATAGTATGAACCCACTGAGTCCTAAACTAAGACTGAAATAATACGTAGTGGAGGTTCTCCTTTTATTCAGACCACCATAGTTCAGTACTTAAAGGTTCAAGGCTGTTTAGCCTCTGCTTCACTTTTTCCATGTCCCATCCAAGTAAAGCAGTTAACTCTTACACCACCTCCTCTGAAACCTTAAACCTTTCCACCTGCTGACTCCCTCAATAATGTCCTTCCCCCTGCATCTTTGTATAAAAATCATCATCCGGCCTATGTCCTCCACCCCGCTGCATCTCCACCCTCCCTTCACCTGGTCCGTACCTTTCCCCTCCACCTGGAAGTCCTCGGGCAGCAGCTTGTCCTGCCTGTTGCCCAGGCTGAAGGCCAGGAAGGAGAGGACCAGGGAGTCCATGATGCTGATGATGGCCAGGATGTACGCCCAGCGCACCGTGCAGTTGCCCAAGGTGTATTTGTCGGTCCGCTGGCCACACATTCGCTTCACCTGCTCTGAGTCCCAGCCGTCTGGATAGATCATGCATCCAATCACCATGCATGTACCTGAGAGGGAGGGAGGCCCAGGTTGAAATTATGTTACTTTTCCTAGTTGTTGAATGAGTTTAATACACAAACATTCAAGGATTTAAATTAGAGACACCTACAGAAAAATATTATTTTTATATCATGACCCCCTGCAACCCTCAAAGGACAAGTGGGATGGATGGATGGACCATGACTTGCTGCTGTTGATGGAAAATATCACAAACCACCTTCTCCTCCTCCAGAGCTGAATCAACAAACAAGCCTCCAGAGAAAGTATGCACTACACTCACTTTTAGCCACACACACACACACACACACACAGATGAGTTGTTGCTTAGCAACTCTAGAACATCTCAGTTGCAGAAAGACGAACATGTTCATCCATTATTGACTCTGCAGACAGGTGGTCTTGTGTCGTAGCACACACACTCACACACACACACACACACACACACACATACACATACACATGAGTCTCACTTTCACTTTCTGAGTCTCATTCACCAGCTTAAAGTTCTCACGCTCACTTTCTCAGCTTCTTCTCCACTTACCAAAGCTTTGGGAAGTTAAATGATGACGCAGCAGGATTGTGTTTCTACTGAACAGATACATTAATTAACATGTTTCAAGAAGAGGTTCAACCACTGCCAAGAACAGACACTCAAAATGTGTCACACCCTCAACCTCTGTACTTTAAATCTAAATCAAGCTCTGACATAGAACATCAGACCTGAACTTCATCTTCATCTTATATGTCCTCACTTTGCAAACATGTCCTCTAGGACTAAAACTGAAAGTTCACCCCATGCACACACACACACACACACACACTCAGTAGGCTGTAACAGCACTCCTTCAGGTTAACCTCATTATTTGTTACAGGCTTGTTGCTCTTGCGACTACATCTGTTTACAACCTGCATCATGTTCCAGAATCAGGTTTCACCTCGGACTCTGTGTTGAAGGCAACAACTGAAATGATGCTATATAATCTACAGAGATACAGCTTCAGTTAGACAGCCTGTCATAGAAATCCTCTGCATTGACACGAGTACTGTCGTACGTTCCAGTTTTGTTTTAGTTTTGTGCAACTTCTTACTTCAACTTGACAACATTTCAGAAGATGAGTTATTATAATTATTGTTCTTTTCACTCAACATACAACTTAACAGCTGTGGTAACTTTTACACAGTTTTTTATTAAACATATATTTATCATTTAGTAAATATTTGAATGTAAAATATTAACTTGTAACAAACATACCATTTGCACATTCATATATTTGATTGTCTGATTCTTCAAATTATATGTCTCTGTGAGGCAAATTGAATTTTGAATAAATTGTTAATACCGAACTCAGAAACTAAAGTTAGTTTCAACTCAAAGTTTTTGATGTGAAATACAAACTACTGAGGTATAAGAGAGTCCTCTGTTAGATATTAAAGTATTCTCTTGATTATTGATTCCTAATACACATTGTGTTTTTTATGTTTTTTCTACTGCATCCTCTATAGGCTATATCTTATTATAAGGCGTTGCATGTTATTCATAACGATATGTAAGAGCCCAGGATGTGTGACATGTTTTTATATGAGAACCATATAAACTTTTGACAGCATATATATGTATTTCTTTTTAATACTATATATGTACAGACTGTGGTGAGAGCGTGCCGCTCACTGGAGGCCAGCTGCATCCAGGCGCAGATCTTGTACACGCTGCCCGCGTTGCAGAAGAAGAAGAGGCTGAAGCAGACGATGCTGCCCACCACCAGCAGCATGGAGATGCCCACGAAGAACATGGCCGTCTTGAAGGCGCCGGATGGGATGGAGCCGAAGTCCAGCGCGCTCCCTTTGCACGTGAGCTCCGAGGTGAGCGCGTTGCCGATGCAGTAGTGGAAGAGGCCGAAGTACCCGGCCTGCGGCGTGTTCACGCTGTCCCCGATCCAGTATGGCTGAATGAACACCACCACGGTGATGACGGCGAAGGTGATGGTGAACACCGTCCACAGCACGCCCATGGCGCGCGAGTTACGCACGTAGTTGGTGTGGTAGATCTTGGCCGCCTCCACTGCGGGGAGCATGGTGCGTAAAGAGGCTGGATCCACCGGGATCCACCTGGATGGATTCAACACTGACTCTCTTCACTTTGCTCTTTTAACAGATCTGCTGCACAAACAAACGTACAGTGTGTTGTTACAGTGATCATGGGTGATGATGAAGAGGAAGATGGATCCAGTGTGTTGCAGAGTGTTTCATGTGTGGATCTGTCTCCTCTGTATGAGCTGAGTGTTTCCTCTCCAGGGGAGGACAGAGATAATGAATGATTAATGGTTAAAGGATCTGAAGAATAGAGTATCACAGGGTGGGGCCTGTCCAGATGGCAGCCCAATCTATTCCACTCTCACTTTTAATGTCATAGGATACTTCACTTTCTTTTTTCACTGTTTCTCATTTCATATTGTGATTCAGATCAAATGCATAATACATTTAGTCGTGTGTTGGGTCAAAACTTCACACTTCCAAGTCTCATGTTTACTTTAGTTGAGTGAGCGTTTGTGCATAGAACAAAAAACTGTGGGTTTTGTTCCTGATCACTTACACTGGAATGCTAAAGGAAATGATCTGGAACAGCTACACCAATCATTTCCAGTCCATTTAGTCAAAGTAAAGACTGTGATCATACAATGTCGATGTTTAGAGTCCCAGTTATCAAATCTCTCCATGAATAGTCGGAATTCTTATTTGTGCCTATGTTGACACAGTTTCCTTGAGGGTGCACTGTGGGTCTTTACTTTTCCAGAGATGAGGAGACCCTGCATAATCAGAGTAACTCACCTGCATGTTCTGCACTTAAACACTAGATGGCGCTACAGAGCTGCAGTCTATCATATCAGGCATTCACACCAGTGGTTCCTCACTTTGCCTGAAATCACTCAAACACATCTCAAGTCTGATCCTTAGTTTTTTGGCAACACATCCTGAGACAAAGTGAAAAGAGCAAAGTGTTTTAAACAATTAAACGTCCCTCTCCATTCATGTTAGACACTGTCTTCTCTAATGAATGTTGCATATGTTGTTATTTTGCTGATGTGTTCTGTTCTGTTGCACTTCTGTCTGTCCTGGGAGCAGGATCCCTCACTCGTGACTCTCCCTGGGGTCTTTGTGTTTTCCACCAGTTTTTCCTCACCCTATAGAGTTGAGGGGTTTGCACAGATGATGTCGCTCTTTGTACAGATTGTTGAGCCCTGTGATCAGTGATTTGTGAATCTGGCCTACACAAATTTGATTTTAAGAGGCAGAGGCAGAAATTCCCAGACAAGTCATGTGTATGTTGCTCTTTTACAGTCTCGTGTGGCTTGTAATGCATTTCTACAATAAATGTGAAATTGTTCAATAATCTAATAGCCTACATCCCATCATACCAGTGTTCGTCTGTGCCTGCTCCATGCTTTTGATCTCAATGCTGTTCCACATTCTGCTGTGATGTAACAGCACATGAATGTATTGACTTTTCACATACCTCATGCTGACATATTTGGCCTTTTGTTAGCGTTCAGATGCTAATAAACCAGCACCTACCTGCACAAAACACCTGACTGAATGAATAATGGCTTATTTGAGCCTGAGTTTTGACCTGGAATCACATTCTGTGATGTTTGCTCTCTCTTCAGTTCCAGTTAATATTCATTACTGCTGATCTTTTAGTGAGACTTGTACAGTTGGAAGGTTGATATATAGATCTGCAGTGGTTTGTGTGTGTATGTTTACATGTGTCTTTGTGTGTTTGAATGTGGGCACAGGCGTGTCGATGCACTTAGCTTTATTAAGTGATACTGGCCCAGAGTGAGAGGGAGGCTCTTTATAATCAAGTTATCTGGAGGGGCAATCCAATTTTCAGATGCAGAATTGAGTGAGATTTGTGTTTGTGTGTGTGTGTGAGGCTGTTTTTCTATGTGCACATGCCTGCATTTTCTCTGTGAATACATAATGTGATCTATCATGTTAGTCAAAGCTTTCTAAATGAATACATAAATTATATTGGTCCCAAACAGCAATTCATGAGCAACACTTCACTGACAATAAATCATTTTTATAGAGTAGATATCTTGGAGAAAGAATCGATTTTATTAGAGAAACACACTCTACCCAAAACCTATTGATAAAACCAATCTAAAAAAGACCTGTTCTCGCAAAAGTTATATAAATAGCACTTATGGCTTCAAGGGAAAGTCAGGAGCCTGACGATGCTCCTTATCTTACATTGTGCATGAGGTGGAAGTTTGTGCGTGTGTGTGTGTGAGTATGTGCATATATGCATGTTCATGCAATTAACCCTTTATACCCTCTTTAGGCCAATTTGCTCTGAGAGCCCCAGAGAGCACAAAGAGGCTTTTCTGCCGTTTCAGCATCTCTTCCTGTCCCTTTCTGTCTGCCTCCTTCAGAGTGCTGTTACCATAGAAACAAGGCGCTGGATGCCCTTAGTGAGAAGAGAGGGTAGGTGACAGGGTAAGATCACAGAAATACAAATTAGTCTAATATACTAATTTAATGACACATCACTACCACGGTGAGTCAGTGAAACTAGCTGGTAATCTTAACTTCATGAAACACTTCACAGCTGGATCTATTTCAGGAAGTGGGATTCACCCTGAAAACCAAAGTTTTGTTTTTACTATTGTGCAATGTGACATATTCTCATATGTTTAATGGGTTGAATGATCCACTCTGGTTCACTTTAAAACCATGTGACTGCTCTCTGGGGCTGTAGGAGGGTTGTCCACTGACCACAAGGGAGGGTCGGAGGTTCGATCCCCAGCTACCCCAGTATGCAGTTTCCTAGCAGATACTGAACCTCAAATTGCAGCTCTGTCCAGTATGAATTGTGGGTTAATGGGTGAAGGTTTATAAGAATGGAAAAGTTTTATATAAATACAGTCTATTTACCATTTAATTTCTGGTTATAACAAAATTACATCAAAGATTCAATCATGGATGTTTGACATGAAGATTTATCTTTCAATCTGATTATACAACTGTTTTCTTATAGCCCCTATAAACAAGTCAGGGCAGCTTGTTCCTGAAGTTTCTACCTACTCTTTTGTCAGCTGACACACATGGACTCTATTAGTCTTTTGTGAGTGTGTATATATGTGTGTGTCTAAGTAAAAGCATGCAATGAGCTGGGGGCAGAGGACTTAGTAACAACCACTCCTTGTCCATTCCTCTCTCTCTCACTTTCTCTCTCTCACACACACACGGTCACTACCTCCCTGAAACAGCCCTGAGGCTGCAGCAGCCACTATGAGACACCCTCCACCCTCCAGCCTCCACCCCAGCCACCGCCTGCTCACTGCCCAGCAGGAAGCATCAGAGTCTGGGTGAAGATGTGAGAAAATGTGGGTCAGCGTTTTGCCCTGGGATGAAGCTGGAGTGGAGGTCTGCTGTAGAGTGGATGATGTTCATGACACGTTACTGATCGCTCAGCACTGTTATATTCCTCAGTGACTAGTGATCTGTGAGTAACTACATACAATGTATGATCAGTACTTCCTCCAGACGTACATTCATTCTTCATTCATTCTAAACACATCAAAGTGAGCACAAAAGACACATGAAGAGTTGGTAAAACTGAGCGATACATTGATATATGATCATAAAACAGCATCAGACATGTCATCAGACTGTTGTCATACAGTAAAACTGTTTTTAAAGGAGAAGTTTTCCAATGGGGGAACAACTGCATGTGAAAGACTTGTATAAAACCTTTCTTGGTCCCAGATGGAGCTGATCTAATTCTGATACACTGCCTGACATCACATGAGGCCCCTGCACAAACACCTGTGCCATTCAGCCAACATTTTGGGGTTTTTCCAGGGACTATTTCTTGGTTTGACCCTCTGGTTGCCTGGTAACCTCACAGAGATGGTAGTCAATAACATGTTCATTAGAGCGTTAGAGAAGCTGATATGTGTTTTTTTTTTTTTTACCTTCACACAGTGTCACACAAACTGTTTCCAAAAACACCTAGAGTCAATTTAGAGTCTAACAAGTCTGCATGTCTTTGGACTGTGGGAGGAGGCAGCAGCATCAGGACCCCCACACACATGGGGAGGACATGCAAACGCCACGACTTGGTGTTCAAACCAAGAACATTCATGCTGTGAGTGCTAACCACTTTGATCCCAAACCGCCATCGTGGTGTCACTATCAAGAATCAAAACTTGTAATTATGTCACTCAATGACAGTGAGAGCTCTGCAGGGCAGGGGGGGGGGACAAAGCACTATGGGGAGGGGGGTCTGCTCCACCCAAGACGTGGTGACAACCTGCTCTGCTGAATGTCACTGCAGCTGACACACATAAATCCCAAGCACAGCTCCTCTGTCACACACATGTAAAACACACCATCAGCCATGTGCACTTATTGAATCCAGTCACGTTACATTCTCATTGGGAAGGAAATGGATGGAAGCAAAATAAACGTGACACAACCGTGTATAATTCAACCGCCTGACTTTTTCATTTCCTGGTGGTGCACCTCTTCCTCTGGCAGCAAGTGAGACGTCAAATGGTGTGCTTGCGTAATCGTGGCCGATTCAAACAGTTTTGTTACGGTGAAGAATGGAGGATTAGTTTACAGGGCTTCAAAGCCAAATATAGCTGGAAAACGCATGTGAGGGATTAGAGACACTTCAAAGAATATGGATGGCGAATACATTATTGGGTGCAGCTTCATCTCCCCATCTCACACGCTCCGACTCACTTCTCCTTTTTCTCCACTGAAGGAGGCAATGTGATGCTTTGGATGGAGCAGTGAAATAGAACATTGGACTTCATTGATGTTAAATGGGTCAAATTTAAGCAAGGTTGATATGTGGGTTTTAAAGAAGATCAAACAGCCTGTATAGTTTGTCATAAGTCTAGCAGTGGGTGTTGGTTTTGTCCATTATCAGTATTTTTACTCAATTGTGTGGCAAGAAAATGATTGCAGCAAAGGGATTTGAGCACATGCTGCAGAAATAAGGACCATTATGAAATAACTTTATGCCCATTTGACTGTGTGTGTGTGTGTGTGTGTTGTACCTCTTTAGGACCTTTTCCAGCATAAACACTGACCTTATGAGGACCAGCAGACCTGACTTGGACCAAAGCCTGGTCCTAATGAGGCAGAAACAATATTTTTGACATCCTGGTTGAGGTAAGAGGTC